GTGTGTGGTTATGGGTACAACATGTGTGGTTATGGTAACGATATGTGTGGTTATGGGTACAACATGTGTGGTTATGTTTACTATATGTGTGGTTATGGTTACGATATGTGTGGTTATGGTTACGACATCTGTCAGGTCGACAGCCTGCTACACGTGCGGTTGCCAGTGCTGCTGCGTGGCACAGCATCCTTAAGCAAGCATGTATAGGACGCCGTAAGTTCGTGAATCATCTGTCAAAACTATAATTATAGCATTCCTTTTGCAGTGGGGTAATGTGTCGACCGACATTGGGCAGCCATGGGGACGGGACTGGACTTTATGGCAACCTGACATGGGGATGGGAGAGGGCGGGGGGAGGGGGTAGCGGGGGGGGGTAGCCTCACGTGAAATGCATGTAGGGTAGTTGTTCCCCCCCCTCCCCCCCTCCCCACCAAACAAAAACAGGTCCTCATGTACCTGGCTCCATATTCGTTCTACGGAGCATCAGTCCAGTTCCTTTTCCACCGGCAAGTTGGAAAAGTACATGATAAGGTCACTCTCGATTCTCGAAGGCTTCCTTCCCCATATGTTATGGAGTCGCAGGGACCCCTGGATACCCTCTGTTTCTTTGTTCTTTTAAATAAAATACCTTGACACTAAATTGATAGTGTTATTATTGGTATACTGATGTGCAAGCTGCTGCTAATGATTGTCATCATGATGACGTTTAGTAATATCGTAACTGGAATTTCCTGATGCAGAAGCTGCTGTTGGCACTGCCGCGGACTCTGCCGCCAATTCTGCTTCTGCTGGTTCTGGCAAATTGAATGCTGTGCCAATGCTGCCACTGTGCCAAGAACACCGGCATTCATCCAAGCAAGAAATTTTAGGTAAAAGGCTCTGGTTCTGCTGCAGACGCTGCTGCTATGCCAAGAGCGGACATCCGTCCTCATGAGAGTTGAGGTGAAAACAAGCTCCGGCTTTGGGCTCTCATAATGAGTCCGATTGCTGATGCCAAGGCTGCTGCCGATGTGCCAAGGACAGACAATGTCATACATCCTGGTCAGAGTTGAGATGAAATAGTTTAGTACCTGTGTGTGTGTGTGTGTGTGTGTGTGTGTGTGTGTGTGTGTGTGTGTGT